GAGGTAAAATTTTGGGGCCGGAGCTGGTCGTAACCCGAAAAATTCGCAAGCAGAGGCGTTCGTATCCCGAGGTATCACTGTAAAACCTGAATTATCCTGGAGGATCTTTTGAAACTGAATACCATCTTGCTATTTTGTTTAAATTGTGGGCTGTTGTGTTCTATAGGATTTTTGCATTACGTTAAATGTGCAGTACTGGGTAACAGTATTTGTTCCCCCCTCCGCCGCCGTAGATAATTATAAGCTGAGTATGAGTCAGCAATGCAATTTTAGGGGGTTCAACAGGCATAGCTTCCAAACCACAAGAAGCCGGCATTCCACTTTATTCTGGGTTGGTCACACAACCTTGAGCATTGGGTTGAGTTCCAGGTACCATCTTTTAAAAACAACACAATGGAAAAAAACCAGAGAACAGCAGTGAAGATGATCAGAAGACTAGAAACTTAGGACACTGTATTAAGTACAGAAAACGTTCAGCCTTGAGAAGACGTGACCGAGCTGGCACGATAGGTATTCTTCCAGTACTTGAAAGAATGTGCCGCAGCAAAGGTCTCTAGATCATAGAATCACAGAGCTGGAAGAGACCAGAAGAACCATCTAGTCCAACCCTCTGCAACGTGAAGGAAAACCAATCGCGCTATCTGTGGCAGGTGGCTGTCCAGCCTCTTCTTAGAACCCTCCAGATGGAGAACCCACAACCTTCACAGGTAGCCTGTTCTACTGTGCCACAGATCAGGACATTTTCTTAAACATGACATGAAATCTAGGTCGTCGCGACTTCTGACATTTCCGATCTCAGTTTCTATGGCCTTCGAGAATAGTCCTTGACTGCCTTCTCTGTAGCTTCCTTTTATGTACCTGAACCCGGCTATCACGTTTCTCCTCCGTTCTCTTTCCCAGACTGAGCACCAGCTGCCTTCTGCCAGTCCCTGTAGGGCACCTCCTCCAGGCCCTGCGTCATCTTTGTTGCCCTCTTCTGAGCCTGCCAGTGCCTTTCTGAAAATGGGGTGCCCAGGATCCTACACCGCATTCCCAATGTAGTCTCGCCAGGGCTGGACAGAGAGAATAATTCCGAAGTTCCAAAGCAAATAAAGCTTGAATGAAGACAGATGCTGGTGGAATTATGAGGAGCTTTCCCAAGAGGACAATTTAATAATGGAACGGATGAGTCAGAAAAACGCTGGGCAATCCTTAGTCGGAGTGGCTCAGACAGAGGCTAGCCAGCTTCCCTTTGTTCTTTTATAATAATTTTGTTGCCAGCTTCCCTTTGGGTCCCTGTCTTGGGCAGGGGCTAGATTCCCTGGCCTCAATGGACCCTATGTTTCAGCCCCACCCACTGGTTAGGGAGCTGCTCCGTGGAGGAACTGTATGAGGAGAGGTGCAAGAAAAGAGTGCTCTTCCTTTCGACCAGGGAAGCCACCAGAGATAAGTTTGAACCCTGTGTGAAGCCCAGTGAATCAGCTTTTGGAATCAGCTCTCATCAGTTGCAGGAAAGGCCCAGTTCAGCTTTTCTGACCCCAAACACTAAGCCTGTGAACTCAGATTCAGTCAGAACGCACTATGCAAGAATACACGTGGCTTTGCTTTCTTCCGCTGTAGCCTAACTGGCAAGCCCACCCTCCAATCCTGGCTTCTACCACAATGCTAAGTGGCCGACCGGGGGTTGGAACAAACCACGCCACGCTCACCCTCCTCGAAATGAACGAAGCAGAATGTATTTAGAGCGCAATCACTGCTTTTGCAAAATTCATGACATTTCAGGAGGAAAGCGGGAACAGAAGTAGTCCCATGCATCCAGTCATCCAAGACCGTTCTTCCTTGGGCACGATGGGGATCGGGTGGGATGCTGAAGCAACCACTGGGGTCCACCCACCGGTGCTCACTTGTGGTAGAAACGCTGACCCTGCGGGTGCTGTATAAAAGGATGCCGGGGTGCTGGCTGCGGAGAAGCCTGGAAGCCAGACTGCAAGATAGAAGCCGTTTAAAGGAAAAAAGTTTAAACACGCACATCGCTGTTATGAACACTCAATCCTCTGTTGAGGGGAAAAAGTTGCATGGTACTAATGTGCCTTACATGGCTCAGGCAGGGAATATTTAGCACCCTTTCTCTGTCTAAAATCCCCCCATTGTGAAAAGACTGCATGTGCTTTGGGGGGCTGATGATCTCCGGTCAATGGAGTCAGATAGTGTGGAGGTATTCTGGCCACCTGCCTCTGAAACTCCCTTCCAGGGCCTCTTTCCAAACATCCCCATTCCTGACTTGCACCCATTTTACTGTTGCTTGAACTGTTCATTTTTCAAGGAGGTTGCTAACCTCACATTTTTCCAGTGGGCCTTATTTTTGTGATGCTTGTTGACTCTTTTTTTTAAAGAACTGCTGCTTTGCACCCAAAGCAGCCAACTTCTAACTGACAACGCATTTGTCTCCTGTGCTTCAACAGAAAAATAGAAAAGGCGGAAGAAAAATCCTGAAAACACTACAATGGTTGAAGGAGGAATCAAGCTGGAAGAATTGACTTGAATTTTCTCTCCCCCCTCCATTTCTAAAGCGAGGTAGGAGACCCTGCCTTACTTTTGCATCTTTATTATTCCCTCCAAGATCAGACACAGGCTCTAGCTCCTTGTTACTGAAATGCAAGCATTCTGTATGTGCTCAGAAACAGTCTCATTATATGTTAACAGCGGCCTTTGCTTTAGATTCAACCCCACTTCCACCTCTCAGAGAAGAACGTACCGTGTGAGGCTGCTGCGGGAAGCTACCAGGAGAAGCAGGCCGGGCCGTGTGAGTGTAGGCCAAACTGGGCTGCAGCGCGATTAAAAAGCAGAAAGAGAAAACCATCCAACATCAACAAGCAGTTCAGAGCAGGATGAGAAAGGAAAGGAGCAGGTCGTTCACTCTCCTCTCACACGAAACCAGCAAAGCTAAATCACAGTCATACCCAATTCAGGAGGGGCAAAACCACGAAGGGGAACCCAGGCTGTTTAGACAAGGCACGCCAACCTGGGAAGCCAGGAAGGAGAAAGGCACACGGATGGAGACCGGCCTTCCGACCCTGACCTTACCTTGGCGGTGGTCTGCATTTGGACGGGGAGCTGAGAGGCTTGTAGGAGCCCCTGGTTCGGATGGAGGGCCTGGGGGTGCATCGGACGAAGGGTTGACTGAAAGACAAGTGCAAAGCCACAAAGGATCAGCCCCAGCACTCTTCTTTCTCAGACTGATCCCCTCCCGCAGTGGCAGAGAAGTGCCCACTCAGCACATCTGGATGCATCCAGAGTTTTGTCTGAAAGACACCTTTCTACGTTCCAGACTCAAAACGAAGACATGACGTCGGGTCCTCTTACTTATGCCTACCAGAACTGCTGGGTTACCTATTGACCCACTGCTGGCAGTCGTGGGGGCACTCATTTGGGAAAGGCCGAGCTACGGGGTGGAAGCAGCAGATTAAACCCACCTTGTTTCTGGGAGCTTGAGAAACGAGGGCAAGAACACCTGCCCCCTCCCCAGACAAATCATCCAGCTGAAGGCAGGAGGTTTGTGGGTTTAGATGGAACGCGAGGACAGCATCTGCCCAGGACTGGGAGAATGCGTGGTGGCTTGTTGAGTTCTGGCCTGGTAAACTGATTTATTGAGGGTGCCTGGGACAGAAACGTCACACTGCGAGCTCCTCTGAAGACCCTTGGGGGGCAGAAAACTAGCGGACTGTCACCTGCCAAACCAAGAAGCGTTCAGGGTCTGAACTCACCGAATCAGAAAATCCAGACTGCTGATTAGCGTGTTCCAACTGCTTCTGAAGAGGGATGGTGGTGCTTGGAGGAATGAACCCTGACCAGACACAAGGAGGGGCAGTCATCATCATCATCATTGTCATCATCATCATCATCAGGGGAGAAAATGAGCATCCGGGAAGAGTCCGTGTTTTGGAGCCCCTCCCAAATCAGAGAGTCCTTGGTACCCGGCTTACCTGCCTGAGCAGCAGGGAAGTGACCATGGATTGCATAACCCGGTTGCTGCTGAGACAAATACTGCATGGTGGAGAAAGCAGATGGGCCTGGAAGGGCGGAGGAAGAGAAGGAGGGGGCGTGGGTCCCGCTTCTGGCCTGTTCTGCCCCAGCCAGGGTCAGGAGGCTGCTCGCTAACGCCCACCCACCCACCCATCTTCTCCGCCTCCTCCCCTCTCCTGCTCACCTCGGATTGACTGACTGCTGGCATAGCTGACGGGCACCGTGTGCTGGCTCTGGCCCACGGCATAGGGGCTGTGCCCAGCCTGGCTGCCCTGGTACTGCCCATGTTCCGGGGTGCCAGCCGGGAAAGCTGGTTGGGTAGCAAAGTGCCGCGTCTGCCAGGGAGAAAAGACCACCCCAAAGTGGGCCTCAGAAGCATCCTCCACTCTTTTTCCTGGGCATTTCAGTCCCTAGAGGCCCCCAAACGTTTCCTCTCTCTGTGTTGTGTGCACTGTAGGAGGGGGGCCGTGTCGGTCTAGGGCAGTAACTTTAAGACGTGGACTCCAACTCCCAGAATTCCCCCAGGCAGTCCACACGTCTTAAAGTTGCTGAGGTTGAGAAACGCTACTTAGAGTGATAAAAAAAAAAAATAGTCAGGAGCACCTTTTCCAACTAACCACTTTTATTAAAAGGCAAAGCTTTCATGAGCTCCAGCTCACTCCATCAGATCTGGAAACGCTTCTTCCTTTCAATAAAATTGGTTTGCTGGAAAAGGTGCTACCTTGGGGGCTACGGTGGGCTGGGAGATTTTACCTACTTATCAAAAAGAAAAGGAAAAAAAAAAGAGATTTTAAGACCTAAAGCCTCTTGTCTGATTTCGCACAGAAGCTCAGCCAGGTCGTAGCTTGCTCAATAGATTATGAGGGTCATCACCACTGACATACAGACCCAGAAGCAAACAGGTAAGTCCATACTGTTATCGTCTTCCTGGACGATAATAATTTAGTACTAATAATTACGATAAACCAAGTTGTAGTTGAGCTTAATGTATTGTGTGAACTAAATTACTGCGCGTTGTAAATGATACTTGGTGGGGTGACATACTGCATGGGCCTAGCCTACCGTAGCTTATTTGAACAACTACAATGAAGCAAACCAGGTTTCGCACAACGTGTGAACCAATCACAGATTTGTTAGAGGGCTCCAAAGGGGTTTGCAGTGGAGCCTGGATATGAACCCAGATGTGGCATCCATAGTTACTCAGTACGAACCACAACAATGTCGCGCACAAGGGGGTGTCTTCGCCCAAACGGGCCGTGTGTGACACCGCCCCCCCAGGTAAGAGTATGCTAGCTGGATTCCAAGCCGAGCCCTAGTCAAAGGGTTACAACGGTTTGGGATGAGCGCAGGCAAGCCTCCTGTTCGTTCACCCGCTGGGGGCTGTACCGTGATAACAGGAGGTCCAAACATCTGCTTGGCTCGGTCAGCTGAGATGAGGGTCCCAGCCCGGTTATGGCCACCTGGACTCCCTGCGGAGAAAGCACATGGATTACGCTGAAAGAAGTTCCCCAAAGGAAGGAGATTTTTCTGCAGGGAAGGGAAGACCCCGATCCTCTCTTTCCAGTGGCTTCTCCAGCGCAGCAGAGAAAGCAAAGCCCTCCCGCCATCTGCTTCTCTGGGTCTGGAGACCCACTGGCGGCCTGGGTCCCCTCGCCTGCCACGATCTCGGCCCCCACCTGACAGAACCCTGACCCACAGCCAGAGCCACCCACCTTGCATGTTGAGGATGTGGGTCCCAGCGTGCACAGCCATGCCCTGCTGATAGGCGGCAGCTGCCAAGGTGGTCATATCGCTGGGGGGGTAAGCGAGGGAAAGCTGTCAGCCCCCAAGAGCAGCACGGAGCTCCCCGGCCAGCCACTGCCTGGCACAACTGTTGCCTTTGCTTTGTGGCAGTCTCCGTACTGGAGACACGTCACGAGCCCCAGCTTGGGCGCCCTGTTCTTGTCCCTCAAGGAAAAAGAAGTCCCCTCTGCGTAACCCACATTTCTTACGTGCCACTTGTATGGAAAGCCCACTTTCTTTTGTTTTAGGTTTAAGCGCAAAGGTATCAACGGCAGACAATCCAGCTGGATCATTCCCCGTTAATTCCCTGAAAACCGAACTGTCTGGATCTCGCTTGTTTGGGGCTGAGAGGAGCCACAGAGCAGCGGATGAAATGGGCACGGCCTCTCCTGACGTCCAGCACGGCCCCGGACGCTGCTGCGTTGCTCCCCAAGACGGCCTGGCCCAGCCTGGCGTCCTCTGGATAGGCGGCCTGCAGACGCAACGCCGGCCAGCCCGGAAGAAGCGCCGTTTCCACCCTTCCTGAGGGCCTTGGGCTAGCGAAGGCTGGCCCCATGGCTGAGGGGGAGGGAACATGTGGGGCGAGCTGCCTCCGCCTCCGCTCTCGCCCACCTTTGCTCCTTGCGACGGCGCTTCTCCTCCTCGTGCAGAACCTTCTTCAGCTGGAGGAAAAGCTGGTGTTTCTCCTCCTGCAGAGCTTGAAGCTTCTCCTGCAGCTTCAGGATCTGCGGGGAGGGCAGGGAGGGGGCAGTCAGGGGGGCGCGGGGCATCCCGGGCATGTGGGCGGGCGAGAGGGAGGGTCCTCGCGCTCCCGGCACCCACCTGCTCCTTCGTCTCCTCCAGGGACATGCGCTCCTCCATCTCCTTCTTCCTCCTCCTCTCCTGCTCCTCCTTCATCTTCTGCTCCATCATCTTGTCCACCTCTTCTTCTTCTGCGGACGGAGACGGGGCTGCCCTCAGGCCTCGCAGACAGGCGGGGCCGGCCCCCCCATGGCGGGCGTTGGTGTAGTGGTTAAGATGCTGGCCTAGAAACAAGGAGACTGTGAGTTCAAGGCTCCGCTTAGGCACAT